CAGAGTAAAGACTTATAGGAATAGTCTAGATTAGTTTAGTTTGATTATTTAGAACATTTGTACAGTACAGAAGCGCCGACGTTTGAGGCAGTACTCATTTATTAGTATATATCAAATAAACTACCGATACCTATATTTTACTTAATCTCAACTACAAATTAAACCTTCTGCTTATCACATATATTACCTGTTCGCTTATAATATTTAAGTAACATAAAAAACTGACTGTAACAGTAGCTTTAAGGTTGCTTATCTAAACTTATTTTGAATTGGCTAAACATTTAAAACTTTGCTAAATTTTTACTAAGTGTTAGATATAATTTCATTATTTTTATAAGCTTTGATTTAGTTTTACCATTCTTTTCTAATTTTACTGATTTTTTAATAAGGTTTTAATATAATTTAACAAAGTTTTACCTTTATTAACATTCTAGATTTTGTCTAGCAATCTTAGGTAGTTCTTTTTTTTTGCATTTAACAGATGAAGACAGTATTGATTGCAAGAATACCTGAAAAGGTTCATGCTCATTAAAGGTTATATCATTAAAGAGAATCATGAGTTTGTAATATATATTAAATGAGAATAAAGGCAAACTGATAGAGTCAATTACAATAGGTAACCATAATTTCTGAGAATATTTTGCGACTTATTTATTTCAATAAGGTCTTACAGCTATTTTCATAATTCCTGGATTACTTATAGTAATTGTATTATAAAATCTTTTCAGACACATTCAGTTGTATTCAGTCTCAATTTATTAATGATTCAGAAATTATAAAAATAGCTGTAAATCCCAGTCATTTGAAGTTAACAACTGAGCTGATATTTGCTGATAAGTTTATGGTTGGAAATTGGAATTGCTTCTGCTGCTTAAAATCCTCTTTTTGCTTGATACTAGAGACCCAAACATAGAGGAATCCTTTTTTTGGTCACAGAAGTGATCAATGATAACTTAGACAAGATCCAATTAACACAATTTGAACTATTGGAATTCACATTAGACCAATAAAATATTGAACTATGCCAATAATATTGTCTAACAGTTTTTAACATATTAATTATACTTCGTTAAAATATTATGTCATTAATACTTTTTATAACATATCTTTTACGTTACATTATATGAGATATATATTTATAATTATATGAATCATATACAGTATATTAATTATAATAGTAATAATAATTATATCACTACTTTAAATGAAACTAAATAGTCCAATAAAATTTGGAATTAGTCCAATAGTCCAAAAGACCATTACTGGCGGGTTATCGGCATCTTGGGAAGTTCAAGGTGTCTGACGAGGTTGGAACTAAGAATGAGAAAGTAATTCATCGAATTTGAATCATTTTGGATGGACTTGTTTTTATAAGCGTCAAATTCGAAGGAACTTAAAAAAATATATATCCTCTATATCAAAGAAAAAAGTTATTGGTTTTATCAATATCTACGAATTTGAATTTTTTATTGATAAGCATTACTAAGCAATTATTGCAACTGTACTAAGATGTTAAAGCTTCAACTTTATGCAATAATTATGTATAATGTTTTTAATGGCTGCATTGATTAATCAACTTTTTCATATTTATAAATATCATTTCGAGAATATTTTATTCAAAAATTTTTTGACTCCTTCGCTAGTTGTATTGCGCGATCTATAACCTTCCTCAACTTCACTTGTAATCAACTTCCTTTGCTTAAATTTGTCGTGTTTCTATGTATTATGCAAAATAAAATTAATATCTGATTCAATCGTTAAAATCACTAATAATATTATTAATAAATAAATCACATACATCTTTCTCATCTTCGGCAGACTTTTGCTTGAATTTCTATTAAAAATATTCGTGTTAACTTGAGAATGCTTAAATTTTATTAAAAAATAAAATTAAATTAAAAAAAAAAGTACATTATTATTTAATCGAGGTTCTTCCTCAATTTTTCTTTTCTTTCCTTTGGCCTATTTAAAATTTTAAAGTTTAAATTTTACATTTCAATTTCATCATAATTAAAAAATTCATTATCACCTACATCTGCTACTGAAAAAGTTTCTGAATTAGCCATTTCAACTTCAGCAGCTTTACGTTTCTTTTCTTTCTTTTCTTCCATGCTCTGAATCATTTTCGCCTTCTCTACTTTCTTTACATAATCTTTATTTTCTCTTCGAGCTTGTGATATTTCAGCTTGTAATCGTTGTGTTCTCGCAGCCTTTTCATAAGCTTTATAAATTCGAAATATAATATTAATCACAACAATCAAAAGTTTGGTTATATAAAAATTCTTTTATACCAATTTGTTCTGTTAAATTATTCCATTTAAATTTTGCGAGGTATTTAATATTCCATAAATCATCATGATAATAATTCCGTTTATTTCCACCTAATAATTAATTATTTTTTATTTATTAATACATTATCTTGGATCGTATTCAAAGGTATTATCATGAAAAAATAAAATACCTATTGGTTGAGCATTCAAAGTTTTCGCAACCAATTTCGCAACCTTTTTATCTAAAAATTCAACCCATCCTTCAGTATATTTCTTCTTTTTATTACCTCCATACTTTTTCCTTTTTAATCTCGCTTTAGGATCTAAAATGATAAATAATAATGTCATTATTATCATAATTATTTAATATCTTAATATATGATCCCATTTTTTTCCTATTAAAACGATAAAATCAATCTTACCCTCGGGTGCAAGGTAAACTCTTCCAACATTTCCATATTGTCCTAATAAATGTTTTATCTTAGAGGGCTTCATAAATGGTGGAACACATGATAAATAAATAATTCCCGTATTGACTTGAGCTTTTTTAAACTCTTCCAATTTAGCAGGCGTTATAGGTTTCACCACTTTCTGTTCTTCATTGGTACTTTTATCTTCCGTAAAACTTAACATTTTATTTTTTCTTTCGTAATTAAAATTTTTAGAAATAAGATGCGTGTAACATCACATCAGAGATCTACTAAAATAAAAAATCATTTCATTTATAATAAAGAAAAAATTTTACGATCATATCCCATATTACTTTAAATAAAAGCATGAAATTTTTTATAATTTTTATTACAAGTTGTCAACAAGTCTTGCTTGTTGACCATCTACAAGTAATCTTTTTTTAATGATCAAAGATTTACTATCTTTGTTAATGAGAATGAAATGTGAAAGTGGCATATTAAATATATAATATATCAATAAGTAAATATGATTATGATTAGGAAATAATTTACACCAAAACAAACAAGACCTGATGAACGCTTACTTAGAACGTTCATCCAATTGTTCAAGAAACCATTCGAATGCATGATTGTTAGAGATAATTACACTAATAAGATAAAGTCAATTAAAAGTTAAATTATTTAATATCTTATTTATCCTCCCCGGCCTATCAAAAATGCGACGATAGAAACAAAAATAGGAAAAAAAAAATTTGTTAAGACTTTTGAACCTTTGAAATACGTTCTGTAAGTTCTTTTACTTGACGTTCGCTATTTGTCGATGGAGTTTCTTGATCTTTTTTAATTTCCCGCGCCTCACCTTCTTGTGCAGACTTCGCTTCGATAGAATGTTTTTCGAGTTTTTGAATTTTTAATTGTGACTCAATTTTTGCCTCTACCAAGACTTCTCTGTCTTCTAATTCTTTGACAGAAAGCTTTTCAAGCTGTGTTAATACCGCTGGTTGCGTTTTGTCTTCTAGGGTTGGTAAAGTCTTAATTGGTTCTAAATGGTCCTAGATTTAAACATAATTTTTTTAATAGTTAATATAAATATCTAAATTTAGGTATTTACTTAATTTAAGACCTGGTCCTAAGACCTAGATCCTAAATCTAATGTTTTAAAAGAATTTTAAACTTCTTTTTAATAAATAACTTTAATTAAAAAATTATTATAAAAATAACATTTTAAAAAATAAACCATTTTTTAAAAATTAATAAGGTCCTATTAGGACTTTTACTAACCTTAATATCTTCTTCGTCAAGTTCCAACTCTTTATTTCCTTTTTCAGGAGATTTTTCCATCTCTTCAGTATCTTCTTCAAGTTCTTCCTCCTCCTCTTCATCGGAGAATTCCATATCGTCTAACTCGCCTAATGCGTCCGCGTGACCATTTTCTTCCAAGGCAGATATTACGTTTCTAATAGAAATATCTTTCGGGTTGACGATGTTACCATTCAATTCCAATGCAGATAGATTTTTAAGATGTGTAGAAATGGCGGTCGCCAATATTTTCATAGCTTCACTATCCAATTCATTGTATTGAAGGTTAAGCGTTTCGAGTTTTTTGTTGTGACCTAATGAAAGAGCTTCCGCAAAAGTTATTCCACCTTTTGTTGATAACAAGCAATCTCCAACATTTAAAACCTTCAAGTTTGGCCATTCAACGAGTGCTTTGGAAAAATCCATAGAACCAGTCTCTGTAAATGTATTATCTTGAAGATCAAGAATTTCTAAGTCTTTACATACTGCCAACCCTTTTGATAAGGTAATAATACCGTCAGGACGGATACCATTTTGAGGTATACGAACTTCGGTCAATGTTCCGTGAGCGGCAATTGCATTGGCAAGGGCCTGACTAGACCCATCCTCCAATCGGTTACGGCCAGCAATAATGGTTCTTAGAGACGATGTGCGTCCTTCCGAGACATTTTTGTCAGCCGCAGCTAGTAGTGCTTTACCAATTAGAATACCACCACGTACTCCAAGCCCATTATTATTAAGTTTTAAAACCCGTAACCATCGATTATTAGTAAGAAAATCAACCATTGGTTCAGCTCCCGCGGGACCAAACGCATTATCGCTAAAATTAAGTTCTTCAAGTTGTTCTTTATCTTCAAGCGCGTCACAAATTGCTTTAACGGCACGTGGAATTTCTTCTCGAAGTCTACTTGTAAATATATCTGACGCATTAACGATCTAATAATACATTACAATTAATTTGACGCGTTAAGAAAACAATTATATTTAGTTTTTGTTTGAATTCATTCCTGGAAGTTTAGATATATGCCTAACCTTAATAGTATTTTTTTTTTTAAGTGCTCCGGCAATAGCTTGCGCTGCTTCAACACCGAAAGTGTTTCCGCTCAATGTTACTTGTTCCAAATTTTCAATTTCCAATATTGAAGTCACAAATTCCTGAACATCTTCCGCGGTGTCTAGTTTCAACCCTTTGCCTTCAATACTAAATACTTTTGAACTAGCGTTTGCACTCATGATCTTTTCAGCTTGGAAACTTTATGAATATGCCGGGGAAAGGATATATGTTGGTTGGCTTATTTTTATTGATTTTTTTTTTTGATGGTTGACAAAATACTTGTATAATTCCGGTTTACAGCAAACCACGTGCTTTTAATTGTAACTTTTTATTATTGCCGTAGCTATCGATAAAATTTATATTCATTTTTTAACGTTATCATTTAAACTTACAATAATATCTCATTTACATTAAAATAAATATCACAAAATAGTATTTGTTAGAATTAGTAAAGAAACAATTATTTAGATAATCCAATATATTTATAATTCATTAAGGAGGGGGAAAAAATCAGACAAAATAACGGAATCATTTCGCAAAACACTCATGATTAAAAGTCTTCAGCGAAATAAGTGTCTTCGTAAATATATGATGTTAAAACAGTACGTTCAGCAAATTTCCTACCAGCCAATGCACGAAGTGCGATGCCCGCTTGGTCTATCGATTCATAACGCACGAAAATCTAAAAACAAAATTTGATAAATTGATGCTTATTATCCAAAGTATAAAAAGAAAGTACTGAATCAACTTTAACTTTTTTACCTTTCCAACACCACTTGCAGATCCACCATGACCCGGTCGTGGTATTTTCATATCCACTACATTTCCAAATTTGGAACATTCCTCTCGAACGTCATCAAATATGTCTAAAGCAGATGTCAAAATTAATTTAAAACGCGAAGACGTAAAATGTTAAGAAGTTACAATAAAAACCTTCGAATTCATCATCCTCTACTAATTCTTCAGGTGTGACCATATTAAGTAATTGAAGAACTGTGGTTGGTTGCATTTCGCCGTTACCAGTAGGCATTAGCACCGACGTGGGTAAAACGGTCGTAACTCCTGCATTTTTGGCGGAGCCTACACTTGCACGTTGCACTACAAGTTTACGATCACCAAGTTCCATATTATTTAAACCTTGACATGCCAAATCAGTAACGGTAGGATCAACATATTCACAAAATGCAAAACCCTATCAAAAAAAATAAATAAGTTAATTTTTGAATGTTTAACAAAATGTCCTAAAACAAAAATTTTCAGTATTCTTAGACAATAAAATAATATAGGTTACCTTAGATACACCCGTTAAACTATCTTTAACTAAATTGAACGCTCGAAGTTCACCAAAGGATTTTAATAGCTCCATAACTTGTTCATCATTTAAATAAGTAGGTAATCCTCCAATAAAAATTTTATTGGGACTATCAGGAACATTAGTAGAAACTACACCAGGGACATGAATTGGTGGTGGCTCAAGATTTTGTCCCGGTGGTGGTTGATAATCTTTTGGGCGTCTTATTTTTAATGATTGTCCTTGAAATGTAATTCCATCAAAAGCCATCGCAGCTGTTGCTTCTTCAGGAGCTCGAAACTATAAATTTAGAATATAAAACAAAAAATTAAATCATCATACTCGTTTTGCATAAAATGAGCTAAAATAGTTAAAATAACTGAATATCTCGTTAGTATAATACATACTTCGACAAATGCATAGTTTTTATCATGATTTATTTGAACAGCGATTACAGGATTACCTGGAGCAGTAGTGATACTTAATTGAACCATAGTAGAATTAAAGAAATCTGATAGACCATTCTTTATATTCAAAAAAGGAACGAAAATTAATAGAAGAAATAAATACAAACACTTTAAGTAGATAAAATAATCAATTTACCTCATCAATACCATATGGAATATTTCCAACATAAAGACGTCTCGCTTGCCTTGCAAGTGAAGCAGTCTGTGCAACTGGACCTGCTGCTCCTTGACTAACTTTGGGACGAGGGGGAAGTTCATGAGTCATTCCCATCATCATAGCAGCACGTGAAGGGTCCATTCCCGGTATTACTGGAGAAGTGGGTACTGCCGCTGGTCTTGTGCTAGCAGGTTGTCCAGGAAGCGGGAAATGACCTATCGTAGAGTGTGAAAAATTTAACAATTATTAAAAAAAAAACTACAACCGTATTTGATAAAAATATATATATATATAAATAATAAACAAAGAAATGATAACAAAACCTGTCGCCTTTACTTGCTCGGCAGTCATTCCTTCATAACCTGGAGGTGGAACATCCCAATTGTTCAACTTTCTCCTCCTTCTAACGATAGGAGTTATCGATCGAGAACGCGAACGATGTCTCGGACTGTGGCTACGACGCCTAGAACTAAAGCTTCGACTTCGCCTTCTTGAACGTCTGGTTCTTCTTAATTCTCTCTCCTCTCTTTCTTCACGTTCACGTCGAAGCCTTTCTCGACTACGATCACGTTCGCGTTCACGATCTCGTTCTCTTCGCCGTCGGACGCTTTCACTATCGCGATCTCTATCTCTATCACGATCTCTTTCTCTATCACCACCACGTTCTTTCTCTCTATCACGTTCTCTTTCTCTTTCCCGATCTTTCTCTCTATCCCTGTCTCTATCTCTTTCTCTGTCTCTGTCTTTATCCTTGTCTCTTTCTCTGTCTCGATCTCTATCCCTATCTCTATCCTTGTCTCTATCGCGTTTTCTTTCCCGTCGTTCATCATCTTCTTTGGATCGATTTCGATCATCACGAGACCGATCGCGATGATAGGAAATATGGTCGTCATGTGAACGATTGGCTGTAAATAGGTGGAGCAGATTTATACATAACAATAAAAGAAAGAAAAAAATATTTTTATGATTTAAGTCTCATTAGTATGACCTAAAAAGAGAGTGTAAAGGTCCCAATGGCTCGAATGCCCGGCAAGATTTCATGCAAAAATATGCAACAAGGTCGATGCTAAGCTGTGCTGCTTTAAATAAAGACAAGGATAAAAATATAAAAAACAATTGCATTCTCAATGTATATGATTAGAAAGTAACAAAAACATATTTTGCCAATATTATCTCTGATTTTTTCTCTTGTTTGGAACTATCAAGAGAAAGAGAACCCACTACGCGTGTGATAATTGACCACAATAATAAAAAAAGAAGAAAAGGAAAAAGAGCAATAACGACATGACGTTAGTGACTATTTTCCCAAAAATTGTCGAAATAAGAGCAAAAAGGGTAACAATAAGGTTGTCTTTAAAAAATAAAAAAGTATTTGAGTGTAATATTGCAGCCATTAAAGTATAATTGATCCTTCTAATACTTCTTATCTGGATAAAAATAACCTTCCCTCTCCATTTCAGCTCTATTATAAAAGAATAAACCAAAAGGTTATGAACCTTTTTGATTTAATTTATTCTCTTACCCTTTGTATCACCGACTGTTTCAGGAGTTCCTTCTGATTTTACAAAGACCTCCGGTTCAATTCTTGATAAAAAATTTGTAGCCAGCTCTGAGACCCGATTTGCAGAATCACCTATAAAAAGTTTTAAGTAATTGAAAAAAAAAATTGCGTATGAAACAGTTGATAAGAGATAAATCTTTAACCTTCAGGCATTTCTTGAGCTTGGTCCTGTGGCTCTTGTTTAATGTAAACTTGAGAAGAGTATTCGTCAGTCTGCCTCCAGTAGTCATTCCGATATTTGTCTTCTTGATCAATGTCCATATTGCAAATGTTTTTGATCGAGATCTCTCAATAGAGATGTTATTTTACTCGTTCTTTTGCTGAAATATGCTATAAATAGGGATGTTAATGATCCCGATCCATCCAATCTCGGTCCGGATAAACATAATTCAAACGAGGATCGATTTATCACGTGATTAATATATTTCAGGGAAATTTAAAAAAAAAAATTTTTTTTTCAGCGAATTTTTTTTTCATAATATGGCTTTCAGACTTTTTAGAAATCCACGAGGTTTATCAGGTAGTTAATAGTCAAATTTTTATATAAAATTGCCTCATAACTTCAATTTTAGTAAAGAATCACTTTTATGAAAAAGCAACCACCATAAGACCATTTCAGATCTCTCAACGCAATGTTGCATTGTCTGGGTACTATTTTTAATCCTTTTCTTTTTTTTTTTTAAAAAAAAAAAATTGTTTTAAATTTCGATATGATTCAATTCATTAAATAAATTTTATTATATGACAGGATTCGGAGGTATGTGACCTCCCCAAAAGACGGTATGCGTTACAAAAGAAAATAAATGAATTGCATACTTTATTATAATTTAGATATTTATACGAATATGATATTATTCAGAAAAAAAAGAGGTAGAACCTAAACAAAAGGCTCTAAGTATTATCGATTCTCTTCCCGGAAATTCTTTGATCACAAAGACTGGCTACATTACTGTGGGAACAGGATTGTTAACTTTGGCTATCTCCAAAGAATTATATGTGTTCAGCGAAGACACTTTATTAGTGCTTTCCTTTGCATGGATTTCAACTATTATTTATCGTGCAATCAAACAACCGATTAATGAATGGGCTGATGAACACATAAGTGTATGTAGTATAATTTTTCTTGATGAGTAGCAAATGAATGTCGTGGTTAATGATTGATATTCTACGTTGATATTAAGCGCGTGAATAATATCCTTCGTAAAGCTCGAGATGATCATAAAAATGCTGTTCAGGAAAGGATTGAAACTGTCGGACAATTAGGAGATATTGTTGATGTTACAAAAGCATTATTTGCTATGTCTAAGGTACTACTGATGAAATATTTAATATACTATTGGTATGCTTTTGTTTTTCTTTCTCTAATTCCTTAAAACGTTCTACACTTAAAGGAAACCGCTACGCTAGAAGCTGAGGCCTTTGAATTGAAGCAAAATGCCACAGCAACTGCTGAAGTCAAAGCTGTTTTAGATTCATGGGTTCGTTATGAGGCTTCATTGCGTGAGCGAGAACAGAAAGCCCTTTCGGATTATGTAATTGAGCGTGTAAAACAACAATTAAAAGATTCTAGAATGGTTCGTTAGTTTACGTTTTTATCAATTTTTTTAATATCAGATAATTCATTAAGGTAATTTTTGTTAAAAAAAAAAATTTCTATAGCAACAAGAAATTCTAAATGAATCAGTCAACGAAGTAGAAAGTATGTATATTATAATAAGTTCAGTGTAATTTTGTTTAACTATTTATAAACTAATATAATTGTGATATTTGACTTAAATAGAAGTCATGAGGGCCTAATTTCAATAATTTTAGAACATAATTTAAAATTTTTATCGTTAAAAAACTTGTGTTCATTTGAATCCAATAAACATTTCAATACGTTTTTGTCCTTATATGTCTGGCAATTTGTCATTCAAATAGGCGATGTGATAATATCCAGTTATGTCAATTATTAATTCGGAATTATATAGATTATATGTATCCGGATTATGTTTATGATTGAAGATGATTATAGTCATCTAGAAAATGAATTTACAAGAGAATTGCTATTCGATGATTGACAGATATTAACTCATTCGAAAGAGAATATAAAGGTTTATTTACCTGCTTTCTGTTATAAATAATGATATAAAGGGTTTAATATTTATTACGAGATAAACTATTGAAATTTAACGAAAAATTTTTTCAAAAATTATTTTTAGTATTGTTTTTTCTTTTTTCCGTAACCCAATTTCAAATTACGTAAACAGCTGAAATCATTAAAAATGTAAAATTGACTAAAGTAAAATACTGGTATTTTCGAACTTTAAGTATTGTACTCCGGTCAAAATTTAAAAAAAATACTTTAGTTAAACGCGTAAAAACGCGTGGATAAAACTGGACCGAAACCGGTCCTATGTCTGAACCGTCTAACGTTAGGTTCTTATATAAATCTTGTGTAACATTTATGACATGATTAATTCTAAAATCGTTCATTTTTAATAATGGCAACTCTTGACGAAATTAGAAAAGAATTAACAGATGCAAAGAACATTCATTTTAAGGCGGAGGAGAATTTGGAGAAGTTTGAGAAAAGTGGGGAATGGAGGAATTAAAGAGAGAAAAGAGAGGTTGGAGAAGGAAAAAGAGAGGTGGGGAAACCAGGTAGTGAGGTGTTTGTGAATTTTGGCAAAGAAGGTAATGATCAAATTGCATAAAAAAAAATATGTTTTTCGTTCATTCCATTTTGTTTATTTATTTATTTGAATGATGATTTGGTATACTGTTTATAACATTGACTAACTTATATATCCTAAAAAGACAATTGGGTATTTTAAATAAAAGCTTTTTTTGATTTGGTTAAGTAAAGCATTTTTACAACTTTATTTTTAGCTGATCAAAATCAAATATCATGTTTTTTATAATTATTTTTACCTTATCATGTTATTATATTTTTAGATACTATTATTTCATAAGGCATATGATTATATTCTATAAACCAGTGATGGCAAATTATAAGGTCATTTGACTTGAAATTTATAATAACAATAAGGTCATTTGAGGTCATTTCAAAGTCATTTCAAGGTGTTTTGCCAACCCTGCTATAAGCATATCATATCCTATAAATAATCTGTATAAGGAAAGTATACAAAAATAATATGTTTAAAAACATATAATAAACGTAGAAAAACAGTATAATAAATTCGTAAATATTTCTGTATACTAGATACTGAAAATCGACTTTTTTTCATGTGCAGAAAAATATGGAATGTATATGAATGAAACAAATTTATTTATGGTATATACTATGATAGTCAAATTATATTTTTACTGCAAACATTGTATATTTTTATTAAATAAAAAGAGGGAAAGTATAAAAATTTAT